CCCCCCACCGGTGAACCCCCCCCCGGCCAAGCCCTCCCTGAGCAGCCCCCCGAGCAGGCAGGGGTCCCGGCAGCCGCCCCCCTGCCCACAGGCCCCCCCAGACCCCTTGGTGCCCACCCCAGCCCACAGCCACCCCAGCCACACGTTGCAGAGCCTCCCTGGGGGGCCAGGCCAAACCAATCCCCCCACACCAGACCCACGACCGGCCCAGGACAAACCTTCTGCAAATGCCTCGGGCTGTTGTGAAGCAGCAAATAAAGCCGTGGTGGTGGTTTTCTACGCAGCCCGTGTGTGTTCCTGCCCCGCTCCAACCATCACTTTGCCGCAACAGCCGGAGGGAGGGCACCAGCCAGCACGACGGGAGCCATCCCAGACCCCTCGGGGCATCTCAGCTTCGGGGGAGATGGGGCAAACCCAGCCCCGGGCCATTCGAGGAAGGGTGGGATACAGGCAGGGGTGGCTCTGCCCTCAGGCAGGGTCAGGAGGCTCCGTGGGTCTTTTTACTCCAGGCATTTGCCTTCCCCTTCTGCTCGAGACCCTCCAGCCCCTGTCCCTCTCCCAGGACAGGGTTTGAGGGGTACCGGGACAGCACCGGCCCCGGGCACTCCCAGACCATCACCAAAACCACCAGAACCCCCTAAAAGTGCTGCATCCCCACACCTGAGAAGGGAGAAGAGGCCTTGTGCATCTCATTAAATACAGGTAGAAATTTATTAAGGGGGGAAAAACCCACAGCTTTTAAAAAAAAGTATCAAAAAGAGAAGAATGAGGTGAAGTGTCTGTGGCTGGAGCAGCACCAGAGGGACACAGCGGGGCTGAAAACTGGCGCGTGGTGGAGGGAGGGATGCAGGGAGGGATGCAGGGCTCCTGGAGTCACCTGGAAAGCAGCTGCGGACAGAGGGAGCCGAGCTCCCAGCCCTTGAACACTCACCCCAGGACATCCCGGCTGGGGGATTCACACCTTCCCCCGTTCAACAGCGCTGAGACCCACCAGCGCCAAAGCGACACACATCAGGGGAGACAGCCCAGCACAAGCCCAGGGCCAAACCAGCCCAGGAGTCACCCGGACCCCGGGAAGGACCTGCCTTCGTGCCGAGGCCCGTGGGAGGGAGGAGGAGGATGGTGGGGAGCAGCAGCCCAGGACCGGGGGCAGCAGGGCCAGGCAGCAGGAAGGCGACTGCCCCCGTCCTGTGCTTGTCCGTCTGTCCAGCACAGTTTGAGGTGGAGAGGGCTGCCTGGGTCTCTATGCTCTGAAAAAGGGAACGGGGCAACAGCAGGGACTCAAGGCAGAGTGAAGGTGGGAGCACCGATGGCTTCCCGAGGGGTCTGTGGGCTTCAGGAGCCGCCACACGCCCCCCAGAGTGTTCTTCTCCATGCCTGTCTCCAGGCATGGCACTACAAGAACTGTACATGATGCTTCTCTGCTTCCAAAAAGGGAATTTCACTGAAATAAGGGGGAAAGAAGCCCCCCTGCACCCAGTCCTGCCTCTCTATCCAGAGCGAAGCCCATGTGGGGAAGCACAAGCCTCCTTCCATGGCCTCGGGAGCATCAAATGTGAGAGCAGAACTGGAAAATGCGTTCGAAGCTCAGCTCTGAACACCTCGGAGCTGCGGCAGAGGCCCTGGGAAGCCCAAAGTGGGGGAAACCTCTGCCTAAGGAGCTGCGGATAAAAAAGAGTGCCCCTGCAAAAAAGGGGGTCATGTTCACAGTATGAGCTGCAGCGCCCGGGGGCACCGAGGTGGGACGGGGCCCGGGCAGGCAGGGGCACAGGCAGGAGACCTCGGCAGCTTCAGCCCCAGGGCCAGGAGCCCAGCCCGGCCGTGGACAGACAACATCTCACTTCCCTCGGCCCTTTCCCCATGCAGGCAGCAGCCGAGGTCGGTCCCCAAACCATTTATGGCTTTTCAGCGGCCATAAGAGGCGGCCCTGAAGGGCTGCAAGGCAGGGTTGGCTGCAGCCCCGCTCCCCCCTGCATCCCCCGCGTTTAACAGGGGTGAGCCCAAACCCATCAGCCCCGAGGACGAAGCCATGCCTGGGATCTGCCCCATCCTGGAGCAGCCACCTCCCGCAGGCTGGTGAAGACCCATCCCACCGAAAGCGTCACCGCCGGCGCCTCTGCCAGCCCTGTCCCCGCCGGTGGGGTCAGTGCAGGACCTGCTCCAGCTCGTACTTCTCGCAGAACTTGCTGGTGAAGGGCAGGCAGGTGAGATACTCCACCCAGCGCCAGTTCACGGGGTAGACGTAGAGCCAGACCACCAGCGAGGCGAAAAGCCCCACGAAGACCAGCAGGGAGACGATGATCATGGCTCGCTTGCGGTACTTGTCCAGCGTGCCGAAGGTGATGTAGGGCAGGAAGGCGAAGGAGAGGAGGAGGCCGCTGAGGAAGCCAAAGAGGTGAGCGATGTTATCGATCCACGGCAAGAGGCCGCAGACAAAGAGGAAGAAGACGATGCCAGAGAGGTTGAGGAAGGCTTTCCAGGGTTTCTCCAGCACTTGCCAGCTCTGGAAGAGCTCCACGAAGAGGCAGGCCAGCAAGCCGAACTGGGACCCGGCGGGGCCCACCTGCGGGGATGGGGGAAGTCACGATGGGACCCTGCGCGCGTCTCCCCAGACGCGTCCCCACGTCCCCAGGGACCGGCTCCTCCCCTTGCAAAATGCATTTGGCACCTGCAACCCTCCGAGGGCTGCACTCCACCAGTGGGAGTGGGGTGGGAGCCGTGGCACGGGAGGAAGAGGAGGGGAGCACGCCGGCACCGTTTCGGCAGAGCCGGCGCTTTCGGTGACTCAGCAGCCAGGCAGCATCGCCCCCTCCCCGGCCACAGCCCCCCCGGCCCCGTCCTGACGCATCCCTGGGTGGATTAGGGTGCTCAGCGTGATCTCATTTAAAGCCTGGCAGGGTTTCGCTGCCAGCAGATTAGCCATCTGCCTGCCCGGGGACCCCGCACGCACACCGACACGTGGCGACACGTGACCCAGGCGGCATGTGCGAACCCCACACGTGGCAAAACCTGCCAGGGGCTGGGGGCTCTGTGCCGATGGCTGCAGCCCCCTCCCCAAACCTCTGCTGGGACAGGGAGAGGTGTCCTTTGGTCCCTGGGGAGCTGGCTGGGCACGGGGTGATGTAGGCAGAGCCCCCCCAGCCCTCACCTCCGCCCTGTACGGCAGGAAGATGGCACTGGCCAGATTGCCCGTGATGCCGCTGAGGATGAAAATGATGGAGATGCGATGCCAGCCCGCCAGCTTCTCCAGGTCCCTCAGCACCGTCATCTGGAAAGTCACCGACACCAGGCAGTGGATAATGCTGGGGGGAGAGACCCTGCGTTAGGGACCCCTGCCCTGCGTTAGAGACCCCTGCCCAGCCCTCCCACCCACTGCCCCTGGGTGCGAGACACCTTACAAAACACCCTCCACCGATGGCACATGTCGCTGAAGTCTGGGGGTGTCCTCCCCTCTTCTCTCCCAGCCCATCCGGGATCACAGACCACCCCAACGGATACTCCGGTCCCGTCACCCCCATCATCCCCCGGGGGCGCGGGGCCGCGGCTCACCCGGCGTGCAGGAACAGGGACAGCCACAGGCGGTAGAACTGGTCGGGGACCTCCGGGTTGAGGAAGGGCAGGAGGCCGCAGACCTCATCCAGGCAGTGCACCTGCGAAGGCAGGCGGGGCTGGGGGTGGCGGGGGCTCGGCCCACACCCCAGAGCCGCAGGGAGCAACGGATGGGTCGCAGGGACATGCGGCTGATGATGCCGCATGTCCGCGGGGGGGGACCCTGGGGGGGGCGGGGTGCGGGGCACCGGCACTGCCCAGGTGCTGCGGGAGGAGCAACCAAGCATCGCCAGCGCTCCAGGAGATGCTGAAGGGCCGTTCTGCCCCGGACGCGCCTTTCCCAAGGACACCGGTGCTGCCTGGGTGAGGCTGGCTCAAGTCCCATGTCTCCTCCTGTCCCACACCAGCAAGATGGGCATGCAGCGGCAGCAGGAGTCCAGCCGATAGCCGGGCAAGTCCCTGCACTTTGCATTCCCCCTGCTCACACCCATCACAGCCACGTCCCAGGGTGCTATAAAACCCATTGGCATCAGCACAGCAACGCGTGCCCCGGCTGCTCACATCGCATCCCACGTCCCCAGCCCCGCTCACCTGCGAGCAGAGCGTTGCCTCCTCGTGGAAGTAGCCGTGCATGAACTCGCAGTACTCCCGCGTCGTGATCTCGCAGCTGGGCAGAGGGCAGGCAGCGGGCTCGCTCGGGGCACGGCTCACTCCCCGTTCCCCCAAGCATCCCCCTCTGCTCCTGGCAGCCGGTCCTGCCGCCACCATGCTTCCCCCCTGCCCTGAGGCTCCATAACCTCCCTGTCCCCCCGGCAGCGGGGCAGAGGGGGGAGCCAAGCCCAGGCTGGGTGCCTCCGTCGCCGCGACCCACCTGCCCTTGGTGCCGATGCAGCAGGGCCTGCCCTTGATCTGGCAGTCCATGTGGGCGAAGCCCGTGTGGTTGGTTTTGGTCTCGTAGGTGCAGATCTACAAGGAGGAGGGAGAGGAGCCAAGGTCAGGGTCCGGCCCCCGGCTCTCCCCACAGCCCCCGTGCCTGGCTTGTCGCCCGTCGCACCTCCCACGGAGGCTGCCACCACGGTGCCACCGGGCTCTTACCGGCCACTTGGTGATGTCGTCCGGCCACACGTGGGGTGGGTTGGACGCCGGCTCCTCGCACGTCCTGGCAGGAGGAGGTGGGTGGGGGGTCAGGACGGGTCCCCCCCACAATATCCCTCCCTGCAGTAGCCCCCATTGGGCACAGACAGCCCCGGGACCTGCCCCTTCCCCTGGCTTGGGAAGGATCCTGCACATTGGTGTCCTACAGCACCCCACAGCAGCACCTTCCGTGGGTGAACCCCGCGGCACTCGCCTCTGTCGGACAGCCCCATCCACGGCCCCTCGCAGCATCACCCGCGCCAGCGGAGCAGGGCAGGCAGGGGCCGGCGCAAGACAACGTCACCACCCAGTGCTGCCTACATTTAGGACAGGCCCCACCTCAGTTTCCCCACTGATTCCCTCTGCCTTATCGCTCTCCTACGGTGTGTAAGAGCCCCCCAGACCCTTGGACAAGAGGATTCAAGGCATCCAAGCTGGAAACGCAGCCCCAGGCAGCGCCTCTGCCGTGCCCGCATGCAGCCGGGTGACCGCAGCGCCTGTCCCCAGCTGTCACTCTTACCTGGGGTCCTGGTGACACACAGCCCCCGACGTCCGCTTCTCGCCCGAGCCCATCGTTGGCGCGTTGCTGCCCGGCCACTTGATGAACGTCGCCAGCGTCTCCTGGGGAGGATGAAGAGACTGAGGATGAAGCAGCAGATGCACCATTCTGACCCCACGCGCATCCTGCCCCAGGGCTGTGCAGACCCCCCCTTTTCCCCCAGGGATCCCCAGCACTTCCCGGTGCCCGCGGCGGTGGTGGCACGCACCGAACAGTCCTGCGGCAGGGTCTGGATGCAGCCTGAGTTGTCATTCTGGACGCAGCAGCCGGAGCCACGCTCCCGGTCCCGCTCGCGCTGGATGAGTCGCTCCACCTGACGATCCTTCCGGATGCAGGGGGAGAACTTGGCTCCCAGGTGGATCAGGTCGATCTGGGAGGGAGATGCCAGTCCAGGGGATGCTCCGTGGCCCCCCCGTACCTCCCCTCCCTCCAGCTGCCCCAGGGAGAGCCCAGCAGGGGCGGGGGCTCCCCACAGGCGATAGCCCTGGGTCTCCATTACCCCAGTTGGAGGAGGGTGGGTGAGAAGGGGATGGGGTCTCTTCTGACCATCCCACTGCGATGCCGCAGCTCTGGGAAGTGCTGCTGAGCCCCCAGGGACTGGGCAGCAGGTCCCAGAGGGATGAGGGCACCGAGGGCCCGGGGCAGCAGGCTGGGATGAGGGGTCGAGCTCTCCCTGCAGGGAGAGGAGCACCCCAGGGACCCCCTGGGCTCAGGGCAGGGGGAGCAGAGGCTGGCGGGCAGTGGTCCAGCAGAGCCCTTACCGAGCTGGGCCCGATCCAGAAGTTTTCCTGCTGGATGTACTTGACGCTCTCGTAGACGCCCTTGTTCCTCAGCACCTGCCGAGCCAGGCCAGGGTCAGCCCCGCTGAGGGGGCCGGTGGTGTGGGGGTGCAGCCCCCTCTCCCTCCGCTCGCAAGGGGCTGAGCGGCCCCCTTCATCCGAGGGAAGGGCTGCTGGGTCCCACCAGCAACGCGGGAGGGAGAGCAGCTCTGCCGCCAGCACGCATGCTGCTGCAACACGCCACTGCTCGGCCAGCACGCGCGCACCCCCTGTCCCGGCTAGTTAATGGAGCCTCCCAAACAGCAGGAGCCAGCAGCATCCCAAGATGCTCCCAGCCCTAGCAGGGAGCACGACAGCAGTCACGGTCCCCCCAGGAAGATGGATGCCTGCTCTTCTCTCCAGCTTGGGTGCTGGGGGAGCAGCGCAGCTGGCTGCGTGTTCCCAGGATTAACCCCCGAGGGAGGATCACCCCTCTGCGGTGTCGAAGGCACTCCCCAGACACCAGCCTCGTTTTCCTCGGCAGCTAGCTGGTTGCCATTTCAGAGCCAGACATGTCACCGGAGAGCTGGGAGGGGACGGCCCTGGCCGGTAGCTCTTAAACTTACTAACTCTGTCGTCACGTGCTGGGTGAAGCCGATGGGGGCGATGCCGTAGGTGCCGATGACCAGCAAGGTGATGAGGATGTGGACAAAGGTGATCCAGTATGTGAAATACGGCCTGCAGAGGAAAGGACGCAAAATTTGAGCAGCTCAAGGATGGCTGCGCAAAGGCACGCTGCAGTCCCCCAAGCCCCGATTCCCAAGCATTGAGGGGAACACACATCCGAGAAGCCCCGTGCCCATCCCCATCCCATCAGTCGCCCCTCACCGGTGGCTGTCGGTGATCTCCAGCTGCGACTGCACGATGCTGCTCAGGCTGCGGCGGTAGGTCCTGTTCAGCCACTTCCCCACCACCCCCAGCCCGTAGTAGCGTTTCTTGCGGTCGAAGGCGAAGTGCTTCACTTTGGAAGCAATGCGCCTGCCTCGCCGGGGAGCCGGGCCGGCGCTGGCGGAGGCCGAAGTGAGGCGGACTCCCTCCCGCCTGCAGAGAGAGGAGAAGCCCATCACAGCTGCCGAAAGGGGCCAGCTGAGAAATCCCTCATGTGCAACCCCATGGCTGCAACCCAGAGCTGGGGAAGGCCAGGGGGTGCCTGGGATGAGGGCTAGGAGCACCTTTTTGGCTTTGTCCTCCTAGGAGCACACCAAAAGTGCCCAGTGTCCCATGACAGGAACGGCTGGGGACATCATCCTGACTGGGGCAGGGGACCTGGGCACCCAGCACCCGCTGAGAGCTGGTACTCACGGGGTGGGCTGCTCCGCCTCGGGGGATGCCCTGGCATCCTCCCCCACTGGGTGCATGCGTAAGTACGTGGCCGATAGAGGCGGCGACTCAAAGACATCATCGGGCATGGAGTACGTCTCGTCGTGCATGTCCATCTGGAAGGAGGATGCAGACGTGTTCTTGGATGTGTGCAATGGGCGAGAAGCCTCCCCCCGCGCGAGCACGCCCATCACCAGGCCAGCCTGGCTCCCCCTGGCCCCGGAGCCTGGGGAGGGGATGATCCCCATCGATATCTCATTAACTGCACATCACAGGGTGTGAAACACCCACGATGGCAGCATCGCTCCCTGCCACCCCTAAGGAGCATCACCTAGGGCAGGGCTCCGCAGCGCCGGGCACACTGGCCACCGACGCCCTGCTCCCAGGCAGGACGAAGCACTGGCACGGGGGTCCCCGTCAGAGCCCCGCTCCACGTCCAGCCCCCGCGCAGCGGCACCGGGACCCCTCTCCGCTCCGGCGGCTGGCGTGGAACGGTGCTTGCCTTACTGAAGAAGGACGAGTCCAGGGTATCGGCAGCATCCACCATGTCCTCGTCCATGAAGCTGGGGTACACAAAGCTCCTCTTGCTCCTCTGCTTGGGAGCCAGCGGCTCCAGGACAGAGCGTCCCTTTGGCAGGAGAAGCAAATCAGCGTAAGCAACCAGAAGCCCCCCAGTTTTTGCAGCACTGAGGGTTTCTCATAGCTTCCCTCCCCAAAGCTGAGTGGCAAGGATTAAATCCCAACCGGCCACCACGTCCCCCCGCGTGGGAGGGCAGGCAGCAGGAGCTGGCAGCAGATGCTGCCTTTAGCTCCTCAGAGCCAGCGCTGGACCACGACCACGTTAGTCAGCATGAGAAGTGAACTCTGAATCCCCTTTGGTCTCAGTCCCACAAACCTGTCCCCAGGGCTTGCCCAGGGCTCCCTGGGGGCTAGGAACCTGTCGGAGAAGCCTCCTGGCTCCTCAGCAGTGAAACCCAGAAGCTGCTTTTTTCTAGGGATGTCCAGTTTTCACCAAAACTTCTCTTTTTAAGCAGATCTCAGGTTAAAAACCACCAACCTGCCCCCTCAAACCCACCCTGGAGAGACAGCGATCTCTGTGCAAAGCAAAAAGCCAAGAAGCAAAGATGATGGGCAAGGGACAGAGCTGAAATCCTGGTCAGGAAGAAGATGACACCCCCCAGGTCCCCAAAACTTACACGGAGAAGGGCCGCGGCCGCCTTGAAGCTCATGTGGGCGACGGACTCCCTCTTCCTGCGCGGCAGGCGGCCGTAGCCGGAGCGGATGCTGTTGAAGGACGCCAAGGAGACGACGCCGGGGGTGAGCGGGGGCAGGACGTGGTGGGGCGTGTGGGGACGGTCGGTCTCTTCGGGACGGCGGAAGGGACGGCCCCTGGCCAGCGGGTCCACGATCTGGAGGAGGGAAGAGGCGTCGGTGCTGGGAGAGCAAGGCTGGGAGCTGGACCCCGCGCCCCGAGCTCTACCTTGGGCATCTTGGCAGGCTTGGGCGACTCGGTGCCTTGGAAGGAGGGCACCTCCTGGCTGGGCAGCTCCATGTCGCGGTAGGCAGGCTTCAGCTTGCCGTATCTCATGCTGCAGTGCTGCAAGCTCTTGCGTTGCCACTGCTGCCGCTTCCCCTCCCAGTCGCTGCTGACGCCAAACCACTGCGCCGTGCCCCTGCACACACGATGGGCGCGTTGTCACCCAGCCGGTCCCTCCAGCCCAGGCACCGCCATCCCACCCGGGCGTCCCCTCCGGCGGGTGATTGGGGCTGGGGTGCCTCAGCTCGGCCTGCAGCAGGGCGAATTTTGACCTGGCTACGGGTGAGGGAAGGGGAAGGGGTGCTGCAGAGGGGTCGCTGGCCTTTGGGTCTCTCTGGAGAGGTTAACTCCATCAAGACTTGCACCTTGCACGGGACAGTGCATCAGCTCTGGGCTGCAGCAGACATCCAGCTCAAGGTGCTTTTGAAGGTCCTACATAAACGGGGCAGAGAAATTTTCCCAAGGTGCAAACAACCGTTTGAATTAATGCTAAACAATCCTGCCGCAGGATTATCCCCAAGCGGACACCAGCGAGACAAAGCAGAGCTGCATGAAACCCACCAAGGCGTTTCCTTCCAAGCCCCAACTCTCCATCCCCACATCCCAAGTCCTCTGCTGGTACCCACAGACACAACACCACGATGGGGACCAAGGGACCCCTCCGGTGACCCAGCCGCTGCCGGAGCCCACCCTGCCCTCACACCGCCGCTCCCCGGCCCTCACCTGCGGATGCTCTGGGACAGGGAAGTCTGCCGGCGGAAGCCGGGCTGGTGCTCCGAGCTGTCGCATCCCTTCGTGCGGGGCTCCTGCAGGCTCTTGCTCTTTCGGTAGATAGGGACCTTGGAGGGCTGGAAGGCAGAGCAGGCGTTAGGGACGGGGTGGCATGGGGGGTTCCCCGGGGATGGCAGCCCCCCCAAGTCCAGCGTGGAATGGATGCAGCTCCCTGTCGCTCACCTGCTTGCGGGTGCCATCCTCCTCCGCCTCCCGGGGGGGGATGACGATGGAGAGGTTGGGGGGCTTCCTGCTCTGCAGGCGGCTGCTGCTGGAGCGGCTGCCCCCGTTCTTGTCGCCGGCTGACATCTCAGGCCGGTGGTGGTCGGCAGGCTGGGAGGGTGCAAGGAGTCAGCAAGAGGGGAAGAAATATCCCCCCAGGAGCTCATGGAGAGGCTGGGTCCCAGCGGGAGATGGGGCCTCACCGGTAGGATCTCACAAGCCTCAGCCCGCTGTGCCGCTGGCCGTGCTGCTGAGATCTCCCCACTGCCAGCCCAGCTGCTGCTCCCCCAAAACCCGCACCCTCTCCCCGGGTTTGGGTGGACGGGAGGGCTTCCACCACCCGCTCGCTCCCAGTCCCCCAGGACCACCAGCAGCACTCCTTCACCTGCCGGGAGCAGAGCAAGGGATGGCAGGGGTGACAGGGTCAGAGCAGCCCCATCACGCCGGCACGTGCCTGCGGACACCCGGGATTCACCCCACCCGGATGCGCCTGACCAACTCGGCACGTGTGTGGCAGACACGGGGTGGTCCCTGCAGGCCCTGGCCAGGCCCGTGGCACACAGCTGTGGCTCTCGGACATGGGGACACTGGCCCCCACGGTTCTGCACAGCGAGGGAGCCGAGGGGTGATCGCAGGCGCTCCCGGGGGTTCTGCAAAGAGCTCACCTTGCCCGGGCAGGGCAGGGCGGGAAGGGAGGGGACGCGGACAGGCAGGGGACACGCAAAGCCTGAAAACGCCCGATTCACATCCCCCCCTGCGCCACAGCCCCCACGTTGGGGACAGCTCTGGCCACAGCGAGAGGGGCTGGGGCAGCCCGTGCCACCTCCAGCCACGGAGTTGGGACCCGCCGCACGTCGGGTGCCCCGTGGGAGGTGAGATGCGGGACATTCCCCTCCAGCACCTGAACGCACACGCCAGGCTGGGAGACTGAATCCTCCCCGGCAGCAAGTGCAAGGAGCGGGAAGCTTAATGACCAAGAGGTGGTTAATTCCTTGAGCAATCCCCTCCTGAGGGTCCCTGCAGCCTGGCTCTACCGGGCAGGACCTCGCAGGAAAGGTAATCGCATCCGAGCGCAAGGGAACGAGTCCCAGATCCTATTAGGGACTACGGGGGTCTCGAAGGGAGGCACGGCCCCCATCTTCCTGTCCCAGTTGCCCAGGGGACTCACACAGGTCTTATCAGCATTCCTCATCCCCCCGGCACAGCCATGGCCACGGGGATGGTGCCACCTGCTGCGCTCACCCCGTGCGGCATGCACCAAGCCCTGCCGTGGGCCAGCCACAAGGACCTGCATCCCATGGGATCTGCTCCCGAGTGGAGACGGGAGCTGGCCCTCTCCACCCAAGGGGGACAGCAGAGTCCCCTGGGGGGACCGGGCATCCTGCTGGGGCTCCTCTGCTGCCACCCACCGCCACCAAGTTGGAGCTCAGAGTCCAACAGTGCCACTAGCTGCAAAACTCCAGCTCAATCCATGGGCCTGGCCCCCCTCTCTGCCCAGGACCCCAGTAACCAGCCCAGCCGTGTGGCCTCGTACCCCGCTCTGCTCTCCTCGGGTAAGGGTGCTCAAGCAGTCAGCTGGGCGATCGAGAAGCCCCCCAGGTCTCCCTACCTCATAAGAGTGGCAGGGATCCCGCGCAGCACGTCTCGATGTCAAACACCCGCTGCAGCCTTCCTCTTCCTCCTCCGTCCTTCATGCACGGGAGCCCTGGGGCACAGCCAGACTCCTCCTGCCTCGCCTGGTGGGGAGAGAGGCTGCGATGAAAAGCCACGCGAGGGCAAGCAGGCGAGGGCTGCAGGAGCATCCCGGGCGGAGGGAGAGCAGAGCTCAATAGCTCCCTGGGCCCTGGGGACAGGGCTGCCAGTGGCCGGACACTGGGGACACGGACAAGCCGCTGGCACGGGGCGGCAGAAGGAAGAAGAGCTGCCATTTGCAGCGATGCACCTTGCTCCATGGCAGGGGAACTGCGTGGGGCAGGCAGGGAGTTTTCGCCCATTGCTGCCAGGCAAAGCTCTTGGGAAGCGAGACGGCCACGAAGAACGGGCACGAACGTGAGTGCCTTGCCAAGGTATTTAATAGCTGCTAAGCTGGGAGAACACCAGCCAGGCGGTCCAGCCCCAGCAAGCAAAACTTTCCATCCCACTGGTGAGCTGGAGACGCTGTTTGTTTTCCTCCCAGGGCAGCTTGAGGTGCCAGCTGCTCCAGAGAGCTGGGGATGGGAACGGGCTGGGGTCAGAGCAAGCCCCAGGACACCCTCATCCTCCTCCAGCTCTGGGGAATGACTCTCCGTGGTGGGAGCCAACACAGCCAGGAGCACAGAAACTGGAGCCAAACTGCATCATTCAGAGGCCCCGCTTTTACACCCCTATCCCGAAATCCCATCCCCAGTTGCCCCCATCACACCCCAGGCAGCCCTTGGCAAGGACCTCCGTGCTTCCCGGTGAAGCAGGTTTGCAGCACATTTAAAAGCCCGGTCCCGTTCCCCACCGGCTCCCCATGCAGCACGGGTGGAAGGACGGACCCAGCCCCCCCGAGCCGCAGGCGAGGTGACGCAGCTCCCAGGGGAGCTGGCACAGCCTGGCGGGCACCTGCCGTCCTGGTCACACAGCGTGGCTGGAGCAGCTTTCACGGCTCTGTGCATTAATGCAATATTTGGCATTGAGAGAGGGGGAGGAGGGGAGCAGCCCCCGAGGGCTGAAGTCCCCTTGGCCACGTGGGCTGGGGCAGCAGCTACCCCCGAGCATGGATCCTGACCCACAAGAAGTTCTACCCCACGCCAGCCAGAGAAATCCCCCAGGAACGCTGCTGGGAAGGCATTTTCTAGCTCCCCAAGTTTGTGCTGTCACCCAACCCCTCTGACGCTGGCACCGCTCTCGCCCAGCGCGCTCAGCGTGAGAACAGGCGAGCCAGCGCCTCCATCCAGAGCAAGCCCGCGATGAGCTCAGCCCCCTGGGTCCCCTTCGCCCTCCCGGCCCCGGGACGGAGGGCTACGCCACCGGGAGCATCGCTCTCTGCCTGGCGGCACTGGCAGCCCCATCGGCAGGGCACAGCCCGGCTGCCCCTCGGCGCTGGTGGCTGCGGGTCCCCAGGGAGCCTCAGGCGCTCGGGGTGGACACGGTGGCTCTGCCCTGGGGACAGGAAAGGGAAGTGAGAGGGGAGGTGCTGAGCTGGCGCAGGGGACGGCTGTGCAAAGGCCCCGCTGCGGGGACACGGTGGTGACAGCAGCGGCAGGGTGACGGACACAGGACTCAGCACCCATGAGCATGGTGTCACTTCAGGCTGGAAAAGATCTCCAGGGAATGAGAAAAATGCACTGGGGATGCTGCCATCACCTGTGGGGGAGCGACAAACGGGCCAGGGGTGCAGGGGGGTAACGTGGTCTGGTCGATGAGAAGAGATCCCCCACCATCACCATCTTCCCTCTCAAAGCTGTCGCATTCACCGAAGCTCGCCAAAGCCTGACATCCAGCAGCGAGGGACGCAGCCCTTGCCCCAGCAACAAGCGCGTGAAGCCCCCATCCCCTCCTAAGAGGGCAGGTATGTGGGGGGCACTGGTGAGCAACTGGGACGAGATTTTAGTCTTTAACCAGGCGAGGCTGGCTCCCAGCCCCAGCCCCGGGGTGAATCATGACAGACGCTGACCCAAGGAAGCACGCCCAAGGAAGAAAGTGACGGAAAAAGTGATGTGGCTCGTAGAAGACATCACCATGGGACACGCCGGGATGCTCCGAGCAATGCAAAGGGACCATCAGCACGGCCAAGCAGCAACCTGCAGAGCAGGGCTGGGGACAACCAAGCACAACCATCGTACGAGACACTGGAGACAGCCCTGCAGAGCAGCCCTGGTCGGAGGGGGGTGTATGCAGCACGTGGCGGGTGCAGGGAGGCTCAGAGAAGGACTGGGATCAGGATCGCTCTCCCCAAGCTCACTGGTGCGGCGGGAGGCAGCATTACCGGCACTGGAAGAAAAGCGCATCAGGATGGTGCCATTAAGCCGGGAGGAGAAAGCAGCTCTGAGCCACCCAAGGGTGTGGTGCTGGGAGCAGGACCCCCGCGAGCACCCGAGCACCCGTCACACCCATCGCCCTGAGCACGACGAGCCCCTGCTCCTCCCTCTCCATCTCTGTAGGGGAGTGAGAAAGGGGTCAGCGATGCTGCGGATCCCCCAAACGCCCCCGCAGCCATCCCCGACGCTGGCACCCCGCAGTCCATTAGGCAGAGCGCGCCGCTGCCGCGCGCTAACGGCTGCCCATAAATGATTCAGAAGCGCATTAAAGACCTCTCTCAAGGCTGGAGCCTCGTTAAAAGGTGCTCCCGGTTATTAAGAGCCCCAGATAGGAAAGTCAATTGGTCCAATCGCTCCGAGCATCGAGCCCCCGGGGACTTGCACCCGAGCAGGGGACCCCGAGCGGCCGCCCAGCACCTTCCCCACTTCTGCTCCCTTTCTGAAAGCTTTTTACCATTTCCCAGTCTCAAATTTGAGATCTGGGAGAAGCAGCCCAAGACAAACAGTTCTTGAAATGAAAAGACTATTAAAAAAAAAAAGGAAGAATACTTCTGGGGCGGGGAACTAAATACCTTAATATTTTTCTTTCTGCTTGGAAAGCCCAGACCCCCTGTGCGCCTCAGCCCCTCGTGGGCTCACTCAAATGGGGAGACCTGGAGAGCACCAACCCCGCAAGCCCAGGAGCAGCCAGGCTCTATCCGCTGCCTCCCTCCTTCCAACCTCTGCTTATTTTTTGTGCTTTGAGTATTTAGGCTTTTCTTTTTCAAAGGACAAGATACACTTTACGGCATCACTGCAGGAACCCTCCTGCTCCTAAGGGGCTTCAGGTCCCTGCGTGGCCCCGTGCCCATGGCACAGAAGCCGCCCCCAGCCCACACACGGCCATTTCACACCCCGGCACCACGACATCAGGCTGATTGTTTTCCTCCCCCCACCACAGAGAAGGCAACTCCGTCTTTTCCCCACGCGGGCCAACCCCGCCGCAACGGGACCAGTCAGCAAACCTGCAAGACGCAAGGTTTCGCTCCGAGTCTCGAGAGAGGACCGCTGCGTTTCAGGGGGTATTTTAAGCTGCCCCCTCCC